GTCAACTAATTTTGAGTGAGTAACTCTTGTTTGAGTTACTTACCAATGTTTATTTGGTTTTTTTATAATTTACCAATTTTTGTTATCGTTTATCATCTTATATTTGTCTCTTTCACAAATGCCTTAAATCTATCTACCTTATATAAATTTCACAAACTTTATTTATGAGATTTACCATTTTCTTCCTGTTAGGTTACCAACTAGTTTTGCCTTACCAAGTCTCATTTTAGTTCCTTAAGAATCTGTTGTATATATGGTTTTTGTTTAAAATTTACCAACTTTTCAGACCAATTTTAATTTGTCTTGATTACGGATCTTTTAAATTTATTAGCTCTTTTTAAAAGTTGCCGACCTTAATTAGAGTGTTACCAACTTTCATCATATTAAGTCAACAAGTAGTTTTGCGTCACCAATTCTTATTGAAATTAGTTACCATTATTAATTTCCAACTTCTCTGATCCTTAACAAAATAAAAATTCTCTAATTTTTACAACTTTATTTACCTTACTTACCAAAGCCTATCATTTACATGAAATTGCCCAACTTTATTTGAGTGACTTATTCATTTTCTCTGATTAAGTTGATAATTAATTTTGAGTTACCAAATTTCATTTGAAATATTGCCCTGCGTTATCAAGAACATCTCTCAAAACATGTATATGTGAAATTGCTTATTAATAATTTCTTTTCGTATTATATCCAATTTGCCAACTTTTTTACTTTAGTTACCAATTTTTTTTATTCTCATTTGCCAACATTTAAAATTTACCAACTCTTTTTAGAAATTATTGATCTCCAAGTTAAAATGATTACAACTTTTCTCAATTAATTTATCATTAATTTGCGGTTTATCAACTCTTATTTAAGTTAGTTACCAAGGTTTATTTGATTATTTAAAATGCAAGTCTCTCTTTTCTTTGACCAAACAAGGCTTCTCTTATCATTATTAATTAGCTTTTATTTACATTTCTGACCCACGAATTAAATGTTCTAACTATTATGTGAAATTATCAAACTTCATTTGCGCGACTTACAAATATTTCTCCAATCAAATTACTAACTAGCTATGGGCGATCAACTTTCATTTGAATTATTTACCATCGGTCCCAATATAGCAACCAAGCGGGGGCAAATTGGTTGACACGTAACCAAGTGTGATTTTTCAAACTCTTTTTGCGCAGGTACAGATTTTGAAACTTCTACAAGCTGCAGATTTTGAATCTTCTGCACAACTGTGTGAGCGCAACGAAAGCAACAATTGCAGTTCAACTTCTGCAATACAAGTTCCACTGTTGCTGCCCCCACAGCAGAATTAATAACCATTTCTTTCTGCTGATGCCCCCACAACAATGCTAGAGTTCTCGCACCCTCCATTGGCCCCATAGTGACTTTTACTAATCCCTTTGGCCAAGCACGTTAGGCAAAACCACAATCTCATGCGTTTGCTGAACAAACAGCTTGTTAGAACACTTACAATGACAACCCTTATTTTTCTCTCAAACTCTCCTGAGTGTATACAAAAGAATAACAAGTATTTAAAGAAGATCTACAAATAAACTTTCAAATAATAATTGCAAATTTGAGCCCTTGAGAATGAATGTGTATTCGAACATTTGCATGTGCAGTAATTCGTCCTCCTATTTTCACACCTTTATTTCTCAATTTTCATTATATGAATCTCGAGTTTCCTTCAATGATATTGTTTCTAATCCACGAAATCAGCTGTAAAAAATATCTTCCAATCTATCTAGGTGACCCGCCTGCAGAGAATCTTCTACTTATGGCAATGTCACTTATGATCTTTGATCAGCAATCAACTCGATAAATAATAGAACATCTTTGCCAAAGTTAGATATGCTGCGATGAATGATACACCAAGATCATATCCACAAGCTGGGTCTTGAATATTTATATCTCCACGAGCTTGATTTATATATGGAAACTCTTATATACGATTTTCTACGACAGTTATACAAAGTAAATATGGATGGAGCTTAAACTCGATTTTATTGAGATTTGTTTGAGATGATGGTAGAAACATGAATGGCACTCCTTTGTTGACTTATAACCAAAAAGCTAATCTAGAATCTTTGAGTCAGTCTGTTTAATCTCTTTCTTCTTGTAATTTTCTCTGACCTTCTAAAACTATTCTACTTAGATACCGACACGGAATAGTGTCGGGCGACGGACAATGAAAAAGATCATCACCACGAATTCTTTTTTTTAAAATGAAGTTTGCTTTTTTAATTGTACTACATGAACTGAGCACTTTCTTGCACTGCCTCCCACGTGAATAAAGTATAGCAAAGGAGAGGTCGCTATCTGCATGTTGACTTGTAACGTAGAAAAATGTCTTTGCCTTTTCCTAGAAAGTTCCGCACAATTCAAAAGCTTCACAAATCTTATTCACCGTGAAGCTAGAAAATTAAACCAGCACAAACTGCTCATTTACGTAAGAATTGTTAACATGGAGGAATGAGAGATTGTTATACTTCATAAACGCTTTTATTGGTATGAAATACCAAATATATTATATTATTGTCAAGTTCTTAAATACTCATTGATCATATTTTAAACGGATGACATATCAATCCAAAACGTTTATCTCTATAAACATAATGCGAGTGACAAAGCTATGTTAGTCTGCACGGTTACATGTCGGTATCCGGCTTCACATCACTAACGGTGGGTTTAGCCATATACATAATCTAGTTAATACCTAAGTAGTTTTCGAGATGATGAAATCAGCCGATATCTATATATATATTTCATCCTTTGATTTTTCTTTTTTTTTTTTTTTGAGACTATGAGTTTTTAGTTTGACAATTTCAATACCCTACTTTTCTCGGAACCCCACCTAAGGAACTTTTACATTTTACTTTATCTCGCTTATGTGGCGATAAAGAGGGAGAGCGAGGTAGGGGCCATCCTCTTGTCTTTAAAGAATTGACAGTTCGAGTCTTGAATCCATCATCTCTTGCCATTTATGCTCCTGGGGGGGATTCACAGATGTAGGGGCCTTCCTCAACTCTGCGTAGTTTGAGGCTTGCTCGAGTGGTGGAGACAAGGCACCACGTTCTTGTCTTCCAGATATTGACAGTTCAGGTCTCGAGTACATTCATCTCTTGCCATTTATACTTAATGGAGATTGATAGATGTAGGGGCCTTTCCTTATTTGCTCCAGTGGAAGAGATCGCACCATCCTTCTGTCTTCACTTAACTTTTTTGGGTCCCGAAGTGGAGAACTTCCATATTATCAGATAGAATACCACCACCAATGTCTCCTCATGGATAATCTACACATTTTCCTTACTCTTTGTGGTTGTACATTCATTAGCTAAGCCTCTTCTTAATCGCAATTATGAGTTCGAAATCATTTTCATCCGAGACTCATTGACGCATAATGTGACATGATCATCTTGCTGCAAGATTGGATTAGGGGATAATCATCCGAAATGTCCTAATCATATTGTGCGGCACTCAACTCAATTATTAACTTTTCAATTGTGCCAATTTAATCTTAGGGTTTTGACGATTTGCCGATGTAGTCATTTCGGCCAATTTTGGCCAAAAATCGCTGACGTGAAAGCTGGCCGTTCTATGTGGCGCGGCCGGCGCTGAAACGGATGATTTTTAGATTTATTTTCTTAATTTTTTGAATTTTTCCTTCCCTTTCTTTTTTTTCCCTTTTCTTTTACTTTCACCTATGGCCGGTAATCGACGAGAGCTGCCCTCGCCCACACTATTTGGGGGAGGGGTGGCTGGCAACCTCACCTAGCTAGTCCCCAGCCATTGCTGAGACTGATCATCAATGAAATGAAAGGAAAAAAAAAGGAAAAAAATTAGAAAATCTAAAATAAATTGAAAAACTATCTACATCAGCGCCGGCCACGTCACGTGGGACAGTTGGCGCTGAATGGACCGCCACTATATTGGCAATTTCATAAAAAGTTTAGGACTAAATAGATACAATGGAAAAGTTTAGAACTGAATTAATCGCCGTACAACATGTTTAGGATTTTTTGGACAATTTTTTCATAGAATTAGTGATATTAAGTCTTGTAACTTCGTGAATTGTAATTATTAGAAAAGTATTTTTGCATAAAGGCCCCCATTATTTTCGGAAACACAATATTTAGTCCTTCGAAATCAAAAATTTATGGCAGTCTTCGCTAATAAAAGAATTTCTTGTCCCAACATGTTCAGCTACCTTCGAAATCAAAACTTTTATGTGCGTGAACCAAATATATTTGGACTATTCAGTTTACTTGGGTTCACTAAGATCTGCTCTGAAATAATGACTTCATAAATAATTTTCCCCAACCACCCACCGCCCACTCAGACTAAGATTTGCTCCGAAACCACCACCAAACCATTTGCCACTATTCACACGTTGATTTATATATATAGACAGAACGTACAAACACTATGGTTATTTTTATTTTTTATTTGGTATGACTTAGACTTCAGAAATTTGTTTTATACTTTTTAGCAATTTATATAACGTACACCCACCGTATAAAATATGTTTTTATACAAGCAGTCGCGAAATTGGAAATTCTCACCTACTCATGAAATGAATACACCTGTACACGTATCAACGCCTAAACACCGCTTGTGTAGTTTTTGATTTTTACACCGCCGGTCTTACTTTTTGGAATTATACGTGAGTTTATCTTAGTATACCATACTAAAACTAGTTATTGAGAGGCTCTTATATTTTAGGATCTGTAGAATTGATTGCTTGCTTGCTTTCTTCTCACATGCTGTCGTTGGCACACTTTGCATTTGATTACACTTGCTTCATGAACAACAAAGTAAACGAAAGTTACACTTTGAACTTTCCCCTCTTCTTCGCGGTGTCTTAGTAAATTTGTCAACATCGAGTAATGCGAGTGGGAGTGTGAAAAAGACAGCTGAACAGTTTATGTATCAGCGGGGATCATGCTGGTCTTTATGCATACAAACAGTTGAGCACAGACTCGCTAGGGAGGGATCACTTAAGAAATACTTCTTCATTATATATCAGAATATCATATGCTAAGAGACCACGTCGTGTCCGAGAATGGTCTCTCTCCTGAGAGAGTGGTCCTGGGTTACATTGCCTGAAGAGGCCGGGGAGAAGCTAAGGAAGTGGGCGAGGTTATTTGGGAGAAGGAACGACGACGACGATGACTTGTCGTCGTCGGGGGCGTCCATCATGCGCGGGAGCTGCATCACTGACGAGTCTTGTTGCATCTGGATGCACAGGATCTCTGCTTGAGCCACCGCGAGCTGCATCTGCAGCTGAGACACCTGGTTCTGCAAGAAGGAGATGGCGCCCACGCATCCGTAGACCGGGTCACGGACCCTCGCGCTCGCTTCGTACACCAGGCTGCTCACCGCGTCGGCCCTCTGGTGAACCGGAAGCTCCTGCTTTTTATGGCAGATCAAAAGGGAAATCTTCGTTACATAGACATTCGCAGGAATTGATCCAAGACTAGATAAGGTTCGAAGTCACGTCATAGATGTTGATAGATGCATGTTGTCAAGTGTTAGTTACAGAAAGGAGACTTTTTGACTGACAAATTTTCAAGCTTTTTGTGGTCTACCGTTTCTAATAGCAGTACATGTCCCTAGGTATCTATGGAAAAGACTATTTTGTAGTTGCATAATTGTTCGTTGTCATGAGATTCGAAAGCTAATAATACATGTTCCTAGAGAGCTGTAGTGCAACAAGATGTGTGAGAGAGAGAAAGAGAGAGAGAGACCTGCAACATCTTGCTAATGTTGCTAGCACCAAAGACCTTGTGAACGATGGCGAACTTGTGGGGGTCGTCGGACGGGAAGTAAGGAGCGAAGATACAGTCCTTCGCGCACCGGCGCCTCAGCAACTTGCACGACGCGCACGGCGAATGCCCTCCCATTTTTTTTCCTCTCTCTCTCTTTTCTTATCTCTTCTTCCTACGAAGAAGAAGATAGACACATAGATAGATAGATCGACAGACAGATCTTGGAGAGTTGTTGCTTCTGAAGATGGAAAGGAGGCCGAGCTAGTGGTGTGGAGATCTGTCTTTTGCTTAGGAGAGGCACACACGTTGATACACAGAGTCTTTGTTAATTCAGGAAGATGGTAGAGGAAGAGCGACATATATTTATAGAAAAATGCCTGAGGCCAAAAGGATTGCATGTGGGAGAGCCTGAACTTTCCACTACTGATGTTGACAATGATGTGAGGGAATGACTGCATATTGTGTATATGACATCATTATCATGTTTCATACAAGGAGTAAGGTCGGCCCGGAAAATACCACACTAATGCCGAACTTTTTAAACATTCTTAAAACCGGCGGAGGATTCACAAGAAATTACCCAACTCGATGCATCCATATCCGGCTCTGAATACTTCCAAACAGTCAGAATGAATCAACTTTTGTATCGTCTTCATCTTGCGTGCTTTCGTTCTCTCTCCCTCTCCTTCTCTAAGCAACTCATCCCCGTAATATTTATTACCGAGAAACGAGATAAATTCACCGTTTCGACCGAGCGATTTTTTCTATCATTGCCCATAACCTTCTTATTCAGGTCATATCACAGACAATGGACGTACGTTGCAACGTTCATGCGCCGCTTCGAATTTGACGTTGCAAACGCGCCTCGTAATTTCACTAATTAATTAAGGAAAACACCTTGTTTTTTATTTAAAGAAATGCCCTTTCCTTTGCCAATCAAGCTGCAGCATTTACTAGAGCGTTCCTGCTGGCAAAAAAACACACCATAGGTTTGAACGCGGCCGCATGGCTACGCCAAAAGACAAACTTAAGTCGTCGCCTACAAATCTTCCCACGGCCTTGAAACATCGTGGCCAAAAGCCAGCGTCGCGGATAATCTTAATTTATTATCACGATATTAACCCTGTCTTGTCTGAGAAAAAACCAAAAGAGGAAAAACACAAGTTCGAATTCGAGAAGAAGGATCTGAAAAAGCCCGAGGAGAAGGAGAAGCAGTGGGCTCCCTCCCCCGGCGCATAGAAAAGCTGGGCCGCCCCTCTGGCGGCTAACCCCCGACACGTGTCGCCCCCGAACGGCCACCTTTGACCGATGCCTCTCGGCCGAGTGAGTTGTGATTGGTTGGTGTTTTTATTTCTTTTGGCTCTTTTTTTTTTTACCTTTTTATTTGCTTGTCTTTTTGCTCTGTTTTACTGTTTTTTTGGGGGGGGCTCCTATTTGGTTGCATGGTTTCCACGTCCCTCTCCTCAAATTCTTGCATTGGCGGCAATCTTCTTCAGCTGGATAAAGAGGTCCAAATTGAGTGGCGATTGTTTCGCTGATAATTTCGTGATAAGGAATGAAAACCATTTTCAAGAAGGAAAGTTTATTTTCGCCTGTTTAGTAGCTCACGAAAAGTGAATTTCTTTCTTGTCATCATAAGGGTAAGTTGTTTTCTTCAATCTAAACTTATTATTTTCAAATCGATAATTTCCATAAAAAAAAACAGTCACGTTCCCGATTCCAATTATTGGAACCGGTGAGTGCTGGTCCGGTTTACCGGCCATCCGAACCACACGGATCGGACCAGCGTGTAAGTATATTTCGACTCGGGAGGGGGCTCTCTCGGTCCACAATAAAGGGAAAACGTGAGGGGAAAAAAAGTCAAGAGAGAAAAGAGGGAGGAGAGCAGCTTCTAAAGTGGGGTCCTTTACAGAAAAAGAAAAAGGGGCAGGATAGACAACAGTCAAAAGAAAAGGTGCAAAAAAGGGAGGGCTTCTTCTTCCTTTTGGTGTTTCGCCCGTGCTTCAACCTACAATGCTCGGCCGCAACCTTGAGCCGCCGCCCAGCATTTTTCCAAGCACCGCCACCTGAACCAGCTGAGTCGCACTTCTCTCCGGCGAGTGCATGAACCGACTAACTCTCCAGTTTGCTTCGTTGTACCCAACCGTGTCACGCCTCTCTCCGGCAAGCATTGGAACCAACCCGACGAGATATCTATATTTTTTTTTTAATTTATATGTTTTCAAAACCCCTTTCTAGCCCATTTCATGAACCCTCCTGGGAACTGGACCGATAGTCTAGGAACCGGTGGCGGTTCCCAGTTTTCATTTTGTGGAACCGGCCCGTGCGAATCACCGACTCTGAAACCGATCACCCATAATTTTCTATAAATCGAATAGTTTTTCATCATCCAAGCACCGGAAAGTCTGAAAACAATTTCCTAATAACAGTTTTCCTTCCAACAAACGGATACTAAAACTCATGAAGATGAGGAGTTTTGAGCATTAAATTCCACATAAATGAAATTTTAACCGTGAATCCGGACGGTATTTTGTAACAAACAAATAAATACATATTTTATATGTATGAGACCTTCAAAAACTATAAATAAAAAAAAGACACGTCAATATTTCCGTTTAACCAAGTTGGACAGAATTAATCGAATGACTTGATTTCACCAATTTGATAAATTTTAGGACTTAATTACACTGTTTTTAAAATTTTTGGACTCAATTATACTTCCGTGATAAGTTTTAGGACTTTCAGTGTGCTTATTCCTAAAAATTTGCACATAGTCAAGTTCCTACAATACAGGGGGCTGGCTTTCGGTGCATTTCTTTTTTAACCTTTGGGTAAATAGTACATACTTACAGATTTTTCATTTAGACATTGATATTCGCTTTTTCTAGCTTGACTAGCTTGATAATTCGGGATATGTAGCACGTGTTGTTGCCAATTGGGCTTGTCAAGATTGGATCCCGACATCGCACAAGTTGTATGATTAGTTGGCGATGATGATGACCATAGGGCGAGTGGATGGGACCTGCATGAGTACCGTGCGAGTGATACAAAAAGCTTTAATCCATCACCAAGCGAATTAATTAAGATAATTTCTTGCCGACCAAATTAAAACAAAAAACAAAAGATTAGAACATTAATTACACCTGACAAGGAAAATTATGTTTTGAGAACATTTGAAGTATAGTATTCCAAACTATGAAAAATGTCAAACTTACCCTTTCCATCAAAATTGTTGACAATTACATCTTGCAAAACCCCAAGTCCTAGCTGAAACCCCTTGGCATTTATGGCCCGTCGCGTGATTCCAAGCTAATTCTTGTAGTCTTCCAAAAGGAAAACAGCAGATTGGGACTTGGGGGGAGCGTGTGTTTGTCGAAATTCATATTCGACTGGTTCTTTACCGATTGTTCGACTCTTTGCTCGCACAGCCTGTTTGTATCGGCGCCCATGCAGTGCTTTGTGAGCCGAGAACACCGAACCAGCCTTCTTTCTATAGTTGTTCCTAAAAATAATGTAGCAAATAACATATTCGTATCGGATCGTATAATACTCAGTTTAGTTCGGGCGTCTAGTTCTTTCAGTGAGACACGCAGAACACTTTGGCACAACTGATTTCGGTCTCCCATGATCTCATTAGAAGAGCAGCATCAGCTTCCAACTAATTTATGCACACAAAACCAACCCCACCATCAGAACTCCTCAGAATTATAAAATTCCTAGCACAAAAGAAGTCACTCCTACAAACCAATTGTATCATTCCTTATGCATCACTCACTCTTCATCCCAACGCCATAAAAGCTCCACTCACAAGGATACGAGAGTACGGGAGAATTTGGTTCATGAGACAAGCGTCTTTCGAAATGCGATCACGAACCATGCGCATCACGTGTTTGCGTTCGGGTCCATTGCTACCACTTTGGTACCAATCTGGTGGCCCAAGGCCTTGTTGAAATGGGCTCCTGCTGATGCCGATGCCGTTGCAGGCCCATTTTAGTTTAACGAATGAACGTCGGACAGCCCATTCCCATAGTTCTCATGGGAAGAGCCGTTTGCCTTTTACCACTAGGTCCGCCCTGCCATGCACCTTCGGAAGCTGGTCACGACCATTTACGTCCGGGACCATGCACGGGATGTTGCCACGAATCGGCTCTTTTCCTTTTTGATGTAGGTATGTCATGGCAACCGGCAAGAGCTACGGCGCGGAGACTCGAACCCGCCCCTCGGGCCCCTTGGTGACATTGGGCCATTTTCCACTCCCATTTTGTTGCTCTTTAGCTCGACCCTTATACATCCTCCTTTGATGCGCTTCATGTAAACTCGCACGATACAATTTCTGGCAATTGTTGTTATATAAACTCGCGCTTGGATTAGGTGGGAACGGGCCTTGGAGTCTGGTCGACATGAAATGAACTTTTATTACGCTACTTTTGTATTTCTTCGTGCGTTACGATAATGTTATGATATGAACGTGCTCAATGTGACCGAGCATCTCAGTTATAATCTACGTTTCAATTTCTTCACCATCCGAACAAGTGCACACCATGATTTCGTTTCTGGGCCTTTGTGTCTTTTAGACTCCATTTGTTACGCGGAAAAATATTTTTTGGAAAAACATTTTCCTCATTTTCTGATGTTTGGATTGCTTAGGAAGATAAGTCAACAAAAAATATTGTCCTGATCAACGGAAACCTATGCTTAAATTTGGAAAAGTGATTTCCACGTTAAAAAATTAGAAATCATTTTCTAAATATATGACTAGATATTGAATCTTTAATCAGAAACTCTACAGTTGGGTACAAGAACTCTAACGCTTATTCCCAAATCCTCAGCATCTAGGACGCGGTCCTGAGTGCCTGGGTCCATCAAGGCACCGAGGCCTTGCCCAAGGCCTCGGTATGCCCCTGCACTAGGGCTCGGGTCCACATAGGCCAAGCACAATACCTCGATACCCGTGCATGGATCCCCTACCCCAGGGTCTAGTCCACAAAGGCAATGCTCGGGTCCCAATGCCCGTGCCCGTGCCCGGATCTCCAACGCCAAAGCCCGGGTCTATCGAAACCTAGGCTCGGGACCCCAGTGCCCGTGCCCGGGTCCCTAACGCCCAGATCTAGGACCCCAGTGGGCGCGCCCGGGCCTGGGTCCCCTACACCCAAGTCCACAAAGGCCTGGCCCAGGTCCATCGAGGCCAGGCCTGAGATACCACTACCCGTGCATGTGCCCAGATCCCTCGCGCCCAAGCTTGGGTCCAACAAGGCTGCGGCCTAAGACCTTGATGCATGTGCCCATTGATGTCAAGCCTGAGTTCCGACAACCAAGGGTCCTGTGCTTGGCCTTGATGGACCCGGGCACAGGCACCAACATCCTCGGGTCAGCCCCAATAAACCAAGGCTAGAGTGTTTGGCACTCGAGCCTAAGCACTGGGACTCGAGTCACTGGGTTCCCATGCTTAGCGTTTGTGGACCGCCTTAAGTCTGGCCTTTGTAGACTCGAGCCGGGGCCCCAAGAAGCCATTCGCAGGCAATGGGTTCTCAGTTTCAGCTTCTGCGGACGTATGATCGGTGCCTATGCTCTCGCTCAAGACCCAAGTGCCCTTGCTCGGGTCTTGGTCCATTAAGGCTTGACTTAGGATCGTGGTGCTCATGCCTAGTCCCCCAACTGCCCATATGCAAGTTACTAGAGTCTGAATAGTGTATGTATATTTCAAAAAATTAAATCAAATTTCCTTTCCAAAAAATGGAAAAATATTTTCCAATTCATTTTTAGATTTCAACCCAATATCGGAAACACAATTTTCCATGAAAACAAACGCATCTCTTAAGTTCTTTTTTTCGCCAACACAATTTTCTTTAATTCGCCGCGCCCGAATTTTTTTGAAACATACAAATAATCATGGGAAAAGTACAAAAAAATGTCATAAATCTATTGCGTTGGTACTAATTCGGTTATAAACCTTTCAAATTGACCAATTTAGTCCTAAACATTTTTACATTGGTACTAATTCAATTCTTCTAGCCAATTTAGGCTATAAATTGCTGACATGGACATTGGTCGTCATACGTGGCATGGAGCGGCGCTGATGAGGATATTTTTTAATAATATTTTGAATTTTTTTTAATAATTTTTTGTGATAAGTGCACTGTAAGTCCTAAATCTTGTCATGAAAGTACAATTGAGTCCTAAAACTTCAAAAAGTGCAATGAAGTCCTAAAACTTGCCAAGGTGGTGCAATTAAAGTCCTAAAACTTGTTAGCATTTTCCGTTTGTCATGTTGGATGGAGTTACTAGAAGGATTTGATTGTACCAACTTGACAAGTTTTAGGATTTGATTGCACTTTTTAAAAGTTTAATGACTCGATTGTACTTTCGTTACAAGTTTTAGGCTGATTGCACTTTTGAAATTTTTAGGACTCAATTACACTTTCTTAATAAGTTTTAGAACTTATTGTACACTTATCCCTAATTTTTTTGTTTTCTCTTATTATTATTATTTTTTCTTTTTTCTTTCTTTTTTTTCCCTTCATTTTGGCTGGCACATAAAAATAAGAAAAGAGAAGAAAAGAACAGAAAATTTATTACAAAATTAAAATATTATTAAAAATGTATATATTAGCGCCGGCTGCGTCACCACATAAAGCACCTGACACACTAGGGAATTTTTGCTCGCCGTGTTGCCTTCCTTCCAAATAATCCCGAGTAGACATCGAACGATTAATTTCTATTTCTTATAATTGAGGAATACGTCATCAAGATGGATCGCCCTTCCACGGTCAACGAACTCATACTAATGCTAGGACTCTTTGAAAATGAAGTTAGAGTCGCTTTCTTTATGCCTTACAGCGAAAGGATAGATGGATATGTTTTATAAGATAGCTTGAAAATTTCTTTCCGGCTTAAATTGGCTGAATGGAACGAATTGGCACCAATGAGAAAAAAAAGAAATAATTAAAATGTTGAGAACTGAATTTGTACCAATGCAATAAATGTAATACTTTTCGCAGATAATCACATCTAGATATACAAGTGATTCTTAGATTTGGAAAAAATCTAAGCGATCAAAATTCGAAAAAAAAAAAAAGGGGAGAAGAAGAGGGTGAGATTTGCTCCCCTCCATAATAAATATAAAAATAAAAATGAAGACGACAACGGCCTAATCTCTTTGATTAGCCCCACTTGCGATTTAGATGTGGCCCCAAAAAAATGCGGATATTTCGAAGCCATGGATCCCACCAGAACCACCCAGCTCGCCACGAGCTCGCCACGCGCCCATCCCCCACCACGCGATCCCACCCGTCCACGTCCCCTCCATCCGACGGCCCGAAGGCCACCCCCTCCCGCATCTTTATCTCCTCCTCCTCCTCACCGCGAATCCATCCACAGTCGTTCTTCCTCTGCAAACTCCTCCGCTCATTTCTCTCCTCGTAAAGTTTCCAACTTTTGCAGTCCCCGTCGCCGGATCCTCCTCCTCCTCCTCCGCCGCCGCCGCAGCCGCCGCCATGTCGCTCCGAGCCGCCGCCGCCGCCGCCTCCTTCTCCCTCCTCGGCTCCCCCGGCGACGGCCTCTCAGGGCCGCTGACCTCCCCGGCTCCCCCGGCGGGCCCGCTGGCGCTCCGGTTCCAGCCGGGCGGCGGGAACGGGGCCTCGCTGGTGGCCCGCGCGAGCAAGGAGTCGAACAGCCGGCCGCTCACCGGCGTCGTGTTCCAGCCGTTCGAGGAGGTGAAGAAGGAGCTCGACCTCGTGCCCACCGTGCCCCAGGCCTCGCTCGCGCGCCAGAAGTTCGCCGACGAGTGCGAGGCCGCCATTAACGAGCAGATCAAGTACGGTTTTGCTCGTATTTGAAGTTTGTTTCGGGTTGTGGTTTCTTATTGTTTCTGACTGTTTTGCCTCGATGCCTATCTTTCGTGCGTTGTCGTTCCAGTGTGGAGTACAACGTCTCGTACGTTTACCATGCCCTGTATGCCTACTTTGATCGGGATAATGTTGCGCTCAAGGGACTTGCCAAGTAAATCCTTATTCCCCCTCGAACGATTTAAGCGCCTAATAATTGGAATTTTCTCCGCATGAATTCATTTTGATTCATGATTTGATATCGTTGCTGATTAGATTTTTCAAGGAGTCAAGCGAGGAGGAGAGAGAGCATGCTGAGAAGCTGATGGAATATCAGGTATTGAAAAGTTTTGCTAACTTTAAACGCTTCTTTACTTGGTTGTGTGGTTTGGATAATGTGGTCTTTATGATTGTGTCGATTAACATTAGAAAGATGACTTTTTGGGTTGCTTTTCATGGTCTAATTGCACAGAACAAACGAGGTGGGAAGGTGAAGCTGCAATCCATCCTGATGCCCCTTTCCGAGTATGATCATGTGGAGAAGGGCGATGCACTTTATGGTGAGTTTGATGGCCCTCTTCCATTGTTAATGTTGTGAACTACACATTGTAGGACGATCATCTTGTTATTGTGATTTTCTTGTGATAGTTCTTGACTTTTATGTGTATGGATCTGATATCATTTTCTCTTGGGTTTGCTTGCAATGAAATTATGTGTGGTATAGTTTGCGTGATACTTTTGGGAATTGGGCGTTCTTTTTGTAATTTTCATGCTAATCGCAATGAATTTGAAAATTGGAAGTGACATTGCACAGCTCAAGATTCCACTCCTACATAGATACCCATTACTTGACAGCATTTATACAATTTGACTTGCTTACCTTATGAAATGAAGGGCTACCGATGTATGAGAATCATTGGACTTCTTTGCCGTATTCATGTAATTTTCACTGCGAATATTTAGCTAGAACGCGGTAACTTATGAGATATGTCTAGACGTTCTTTCATATGTACACCTCTGTTCTGAGAAACATATAATGCAGCGGAAATGGCTAAATATTGATGTAATGCTTCTTTTTCCCATGGCAAAGTCTTTTTATCAAATGCGTTTGGTGTCCTTGCTAATCACCTTTAGTTTGCTTCTGGTGCAAATTGATTGCCATATGTACCTGACCACATTTATTCTTTTGATCCAGCAATGGAGCTCTCATTGTCTCTGGAGAAGCTAAATAATGAAAAGCTTCTGAATTTACACGGTGTACGACCCTTGATTTAGTTGGCATTTTATAAGCTCATAAATCCATGATGACTCTTGCTTTCAATTGGCTAATCAAAATTTCACCTTCATGGGTATTTTCCTTTTACAAATAGGTGGCTGAGCGTAACCATGATGTGCAATTGACAGATTTTGTTGAAAGTGAATTCTTGGCTGAACAAGTGAGAACAAAGTTCCAAATTCCTTCTACATTTAAGTTCTGAACGTGTTTGTTATTTCAGACAGTGTATGACTAATTTTGCCCCATCTTATATTACTGGAAGGTGGAAGCTATAAAAAAGATCTCAGAATATGTTGCTCAACTTAGAAGGGTGGGCAAAGGACATGGTACAATCTCAGATGCTGCTTTTTATTTCTCATCATGTCGTTTTGTTTCCTATCTTCTCCAGTCCTAGTTTCACTGATGTTTTACAAAATTGGGAATTTCAGGAGTTTGGCACTTCGACCAGATGCTCCTACGTGAGGAAGAAGCAGTGGCATGATGAGGTTGCTTTCTCGATGTGGCCTCGGAGAAGGGTGATGCGTGCTCCTTTTGTACTCTTAGATTTTCAATTGACATTCTTGGGTGGTTTATGAATCGTGTGATAGTTCTCATGTTAAAGACAGACAGTGCAGCTTTTTCTTATGAAACAGTTGATACGAATAAAAGAATTTTCTGTGGTTCTTTGAACATCTCTGGCCCTTCTTTATTGGAGATTTTCAGAGTCAGCACAAGTCTTAAAGACGTGATAACGAATTGCACAGACACGTGGGATTTCGATTTCCTTCTAAAACAGAGAATGCAGAGTGTGTTTTCGGTACAGTTGGTGTCATTAGTAGCTTTTTCAATCCGAGGGACCATGACATACTGGTGGCTAACATTTGCCTGGATATCACGGTTCAAGAACCTCAACGTGGCTATTACACATGTCCTGTTGGGTATACTTCATGGGGCCAACGTCGAGTTGCTGCTATTCGCTTGTGGCTGTGGATGTCCAGCATGTCATAAGATTGCGATTCTGTGGACGAGAACCTCGGATGTCACTGTTCGTTACCTTCTGCGTCGTGCTTCTTTTGAAATGTTTTCGCGGTACTCTCTATCCAGGCATGATGCAAAATCGACCCATTTCCTAAAAGCCATAGCTCGAGTCTGGTCTTTCGATTCTAAACGCATGTTGATGCAGCCATTGTCTCATCTGCACTGCCTATGATCTTCCGGTCAAGTAATAGCCAACAAAAACTCGTAGCACACTCGTTGCTGCTTTTGTGCATTTGCATGAACTGCTGCTGAAACATGATAAAGAGTGTGCTATGATCGCTGATCCCTTGCTTCTACTTCTCAAATAACTATTTTGCTAGCCAGCTTAACTGGTCCTTGATGATACCAGATAATATGAATGGCCCAAAGGCCAAAGCAATTAAGCCTCTCATCTTGGCAAGATATCTTCCTAGTCGCTTGCGCGCTTTCGCTAAGTCAACCGCTTGTATGGTTCTCTTAAACATTTAGCAAAAACCTCTTCCCGAGTTGAAAGAAACTACATAGAATGTACGATCGAGCAGAACGGCCGGCCTGTCAGTGAAGCCGAACAAGCCAATCGCAAGTCGTGCAAACGAAGAGTCACGATGCACCCAAGAAGTCAAACCAGCAATCGGTCCAACTAAAGGTTCTCTAAGAAGCCCGGAGACTCTAGGATGGTAGAACAAGAAAATATACTTTTATATTTATATATCTTTTGAGGGCAGGCCAACGTGAGGCCCGTCTAGCTCAGTCGGTAGAGCGCAAGGCTCTTAACCTTGTGGTCGTGGGTTCGAGCCCCACGGTGGGCGCATTTCCTTTTCCTTTTGCTTTTTCATGTTGGAGTCAAGAGCAAAAGGAGTTCGAGCTCAGACTTGTTCAGACGGTAGCAGACAAAACAATGCGTCTCGAGACATATTTGGAAATCTCTTTTCTAAAATAGGAAGCAAAACGTTTCTTGTTTTCTTTTTGAGATCATCCGAGAGAGGTAAACATCATCATGTAAATTCGCATGAAATCTTTCTAAGATCACGTAGCACCGCCAATCCTTGGACAAAACTCCAATAAGGATCTCTCTCTCTCTCTCTCTCTCTCTCTCTCTCTCTCTCTCTCTCTCTCTGTGTAATCCGAACAAAAGCAATGGCGGCTCGCTCACCAAACCTGGAGTGCCGCATGTATGAGGCGCAGTATCCGGAGGCCGGCAGAATGCCATGAAGGAAGCCATAGCTGCCGGAAACGACGAGTGTCCTGTCAAGATCAAGCTAGTTGCATCTGTTGTTCGGCTAAGTTCGTATATCAGAGATTAAAATCAAACGTTAGGAAAACTAACCTGAAAGCAGTACAATCAAATAAGCAGAATGTTGATCCGAGCCCAACGAATTAACGTCGTGTCCTTAAGACGAATTTGGCCCCTCAATTAGTACTCGAGGATATTGGACAATCGTCTCCCAAGATAGAACGGATCTCGTTCCTCCGAAGCGGTACGTATTCGGAGGACTCCAACGAATGCAATTTTGCAGAACAATCGCACCAAATGACAATGATAAAGTGAATATGCGTAGAGTGCGTCGGGAAAAAATGAATTCTACGAAGTGATGTCTATTCCGAACTAAACTGTTCGGTCTTAAAGTGGCGAAAAATGAAGAGTTGCGAATTTTCGTGAACAGTAGCGAAGGTTCACTTGAACCGGTTCGGTTCGTGAACAGTCGCGAAGGGCTTCGATTTTCCGTTCGGGCGAACCGAACCTCATGAACATACATGTTTATTTGTCCAATAAATAAATAAATAAATAAATTCTAAACAACGTGTCTGTTCGGAAAAAATAAAAAACCGATAGAGAGTGGACCCGGCCGGACGGACGGCGGCGGCGGCGCGCGCGCGGGGGGTAGACCGACCTAGCTTGACGTAGGTCCTCTCTCTTCGACAAAAGTGAGGTACCCCTTGGGGCCCAAACCCATTTGTGAGGCTCAACTATTTGAACCCATCTCTCATCTCCCATCTCTCTTCACCCTATGTGGGACACTTTCAACCACACACTTCTCATTCAATTCTATGGGATTTTGATTCCAAAATCCCAACAATGCCCCACATGAATGAGAAGTTCAGATATCATGACTCTTCGTGTATGCATGAGATGCAATGTGCGATTATTCCATGAGAAAACGTTGCATCAGGATAAGTAGTCTGAGACCTTGAACTTTCCTTAGTGAAACCTATCGGATTTACTCAGTCAATCAGGATAAGATGTCTTTGAACTGTCGACCTTTGGTGTAAGCCTAGACAATAGAAATCACACAACTATTTCTCGAACAAAATTGGTTCTCACTGTTGTGTTCGTTTGGCCATGAACACCGCCTGGTCTCATGAGTGTTTTAGAGAATTCGGCCTTTTCAATTCTCACAGAAGCGGCCCTCACTTCACACTCACATAGGTGATTTCTGAACATATAGTATATCACATACTCAATTCAGAATCATTAAAAGCTTTTGCTTAACCTTCACATATTAGTACTGTCTGCATCCGGGAATAAGTAAAAATTTGACAATTCTCTACACTGTATTCATAACTTAGTTGTCCCTTTGAACCTAGATCTTGGGATCTCCAGTCAACTAGGTAGGGTTTCCGCTATGATGACTTGTTTACAGGCCTTAAACCCATTCCCCTTGATGTTTTCGTAACCATCTCTCTAGTTAGGCCTTTTGTCAATGGATCCGCAATATTATCTTTTGACTTCACATAGTCAATGGTGATAATTCCACTAGAAAGAAGTTGTCTTATTGTGTCATGTCTTCGACGTATGTGTCGAGACTTACCGTTATACATGACATTCCTTGCCCTTCCTATTGCCGCTTGACTGTCACAATGTATACAAACAGCGGGCACTGGTTTAGGCCAATTAGGAATATCTTCCAAGAAATTTCGAAGCCACTCTGCTTCTTCACCGGCTTTATCCAAAGCAATAAATTCTGATTCCATAGTGGATCTAGCAATACAAGTTTGTTTGGATGATTTCCAAGACACTGCTGCTCCCCCAAGTGTGAATACATATCCACTTGTCGATTTTGTGTCTTTAGTGCCGGTTATCCAATTTGCATTACAGTATCCTTCAAGTACCGACGGATATTCTGTGTAATGCAAAGCATAATCTTGAGTATGCTTTAAGTAGCCCAATAAACGTTTCATTGCTTTCCAATGATTTTCATTTGGACTAACTGTAAATCGACTTAGCTTGCTAACCGTACAAGCTATGTCCGGCCTAGTACAGTTCATGACATACATTAAACTGCCTAGTATACTAGCATACTCATTTTGATCCTTACTTTCACCAGTATTCTTCGAAAGATGTAAATTAACATCTATCGGAGTCTTTACTGGTACAATATCTAGATTCTTGCACTTTCCAAGAATCGTCTCAATATAATGGGATTGTGATAGAGCTAATCCTCCATATGTTTTATGGATTTTAACTCCTAAAATAACATCTGCAACCCCCATATCTTTCATATCAAATTTACTTGTGAGCATGCGTTTGGTCGCCTTAACAACCTCACTATCGCTGCCCATTATAAGCATGTCGTCTACATATAAGCACAAAATGGCAAAACCATTATAAGTGTTATTAACATATACATATTCATCACACTCATTGATCTTGAAACCATTCGACAACATGACTTGGTCGAATTTAGCATGCCATTGTTTCGGTGCTTGTTTCAATCCATAGTGTGACTTGATAAGCCGACATACTTTCTTCTCTTGACTTGGAACAATGAACCCTTCGGGTTGTTCCAAATATATTTCTTCTTCCAAATCCCCGTTTAAGAATGCCGTCTTAACATCCATTTGATGGATTTCAAGCTTATACACCGCTGCTATGGCAATTAGCATCCTTATGGATGTAATTCTAGTAACAGGTGAATAAGTATCAAAATAATCAAGACCTTCTCGTTGCTTGTATCCTTTTACTACAAGCCTAGCCTTATATTTATCAATAGCACCATCCGCTTTCATTTTCCTCTTGAAAATCCACTTACATTGTAGTGGTTTATTACCAGGAGGAAGGTCAACCAATTCCCATGTATGGTTTGACAAGATGGATTCAACTTCACTATTGATAGCTTCTTTCCAGAACGGGGCTTCTGGCGAAGTCACAGCTTCTTTGAATGTCCGAGGCTCATTCTCTAACAGATACGTTAAGAAATCAGGTCCAAAAGACGTGGAAGTCCTTTGTCTTTTACTACGTCTAGGTTCATCCTCAATTGGATCATTTCTAGATATAGTATCTCGAGACCTCTTATTATTATCAATTGGCTCATATACTATGTTATACGGAAATATATTTTCAAAGAACGAAGAGTCCCTTGATTCAATTATCGTATTAACATGTATATCTGGGATCTCTGACTTGTGAACAAGAAAACGATATGCATTGCTATTCTGAGCATATCCGATAAAAACACAATCAACAGTCTTTGGTCCTATCTTAACCTTTTTAGGCTTAGGAACCGCAACCTTAGCCAAACACCCCCACACTTTGAGATAATTCAGGTTAGGCATTTTGCCTTTCCATTTCTCATAGGGAGTTTGTTGTATTTTTCTGTGGGGCACTTTATTTAAAATAAAATTCGCCGTCAAAACAGCTTCCCCCCCACAAATTCTGTGGTAAACCGGAACTATTCAACAATGCATTCATTGTTTCCTTTAAAGACCGGTTTTTCCTTTCTGTCACTCCATTAGATTGCGGCGTATAAGGAGGAGTCATTTGGTGAATGATACCAAACTCAGTACAAATTTCCTCAAAAGGAAATTCA